CCCCCCCCCCCCACCCCGACAATCTCGACGGTGTACAAAAAAGAGCCACATTTCCAGCAATGAGTACCGCAAATGAAATTGTGTTCCCCGGATGGTCCGAGCTGTCCCACGCTTCAGAGAAGTCATACATTAATCTACATATTGCTGTCTCACCTTTTCTGAGGAGATTCCCACGGAGCCGTCGGAAGGGAGTACCACCGATGCGGTCAGCCCTAGTCTACTCAAACGTGCATTCTGGCAATACCACATGCACAGGACCCAAGCATGTGAAGGCGGGTCGGCGCAAGAAAGTGCACAGAGGGGTGCACGTGGGCAGAAGGCAGAGGGGGGAGAGGTAGCGGTGAAGGGGGGGGGGGGCAGACATAGCTCATAATCTGTCCAGTACTCTGAAACTGGATGCGAACGGCGACCCACGCCCACGACACCAGACAAAACAAGAAATCGTCTTCATGTCGAAGCGTGAAAAAAACGGTCGCCGTTTGGGAAATACCCGTATCTTTCTTTTCCATTGAACATCCTCCAATACCTTCGGAGAAAAGTCTCCAGTATAAGGGGTGTGAACCTCAACGCATTGCGGCCTCAAGAAGATTCTCGCGTCAAACACGCAAAACTACATACACAAATAGTGATCGATGGCTCTGTTGCGGGTGCAGCAGGCTTGGACAACACACACAATACTCAATTTCCAACAGTAGTTATTTCCTTCACCTCCAAGTCGAAGAACGCTGCTTTGATCGAGCTGCCTGCCCATGTTTCGAACGTCACGCCGACGGTGCGGTACTCGCAATTGTCCGAGCTGAAAAAGGAAAGGAAGCAAGAGTCAGACGGGAAGCAAGAACGGGTGTGACAAACCACACCACGAAAAAGAACACAAGATGGCAATCCAGCTAGAGCAGCGCCAAGCAACGAAGCCAATCCTCATCCATCACCATACAAAATTCGTGACCTCAACACAACAAGGTGTTGTGTCAGTCTCATCGCCTGTCGAAAAGTCTTGCACGCCGCCAGCCAGGACAACACCCCCTCCCTAGGGTCGTCGTCAAAGGCAAGATAGAAACATGGTACATGGGATTTTTTTTTCGCGATTCAAACACCAACGGACTCGCCTTGTTTCAAACGACAGCGGCTCGTCCTCCTTGATGGCGATAAATGCCGAGGTGCCGGCGGCATCCACCACATTCACCAGCTCGGTGCATCTATCTGCCGCCCATGTGCTGCTTGTGCTGCCGCTGGCGTCGTCCCAACTGGCGGTCTCAGCGGCTTCTTCGCTCGCATTTAGCACCTGTTCACGGAGGCAGGCGGGCGGGATTGGGCTGTTGAGAACCTCCCGTTTGGCTGTCATTTCAACACCATTACTGATTGAATAGGGAGCACAGCAGGTGCGGCAGGCAATAACCAGGTAGCATAGATATATCTTCGGTCGAGAGTCATGCAACAGAACGGTGACGATGCCCGTACGTGGGTAAAATAGTTCGCGTCATCTGTTGCAGCAGTCAAAGACAAGGGGGGGGGGCGGCCGAAGGAGATTCGACCACCCCAGAGATGAAGGCCCTTAAGCTGATTCGCTAGAAAATGAAACCACCACAACAGTCGTGGTTTGTTTCCGTGCATAATTACCAGAAACCATCTCGGCATGGCACCAACTACGAAACTCAAATATCCAAATAATACTCCATTCCAGACGAGACGAGATCATGCATGACGCACACCGACCTTGCTTGCGTAATAGCTTGCCTTCTCTTCAACATGTTGAACATAGCGCACACAACGGCAGTTTCGAGAAGACACACATTTCAGGCGAGAGAGAGCCTTCCCACACAGCAGACCGAGAAAAAAAAAACGCAGGTATGAGAGGAAGCAGAGACAACCCGCTGCAACTCTCGGACGGACGGACGGACGGACGGGGGGTGTACTCATAGCCGTGCATGCCGTAGTCGTTAGAACATTGACCTCGCATCCCTACAAAGCCGGGACGGAGCACGCCGGGTTCTCACTGGACCAGGCTCTCACATTACCAAGCGCGAAGCGCCGTGACATATTCGCCGAGTCGCATGAAGGGTGCGCTGCATCCTGCTTATGGTGTTCGGCATCTTGTGCTTACTTCCTTGCACATGGATGACAGCTGCTTATGAATTAATTCATTTTCTGGTGCTTTCACTTTCTGAGACAATTGTAAGCACTGTGTAACTGCCTCGAGGGTGCTTGACCATTTTAACACAACGTGGTGCGATCATCCCCCTTGCGCGGAGTGAGGCTTCTCCACCCTGCACAACATGATCTACTCGACCACCACGACGGTTACCGCCAAAAAAAAAGAGGTGAAAAAAAAAAAGCGGTAAGCTGGTTGCCGAGTTGCCGAGTTCACGAAGTGAACTGGCTTGTTTTACAACGTCGTTGCCACGCGACGAAAACCCAACCCCGATGCCTTGCTACGGGGGGGACGGGGGGGGGAGACATCACAGGTGCTCGTGTTGGACAAGAAGCAAACGTCAGGGGGGGGGGGAGACGCTACCATAATTGAAAAAGGAGGCAAAGACAGTATGGGAGCGATAGCCAAGTACTAGTAATACTTCAACTCCTACCTCGTCTTCGTCGCAGGCCTCAGGCACAGATCGCCCGAAGCCAACTGTGGCAACCTCCGTGTCCATGGCAGCCCCTAGGCATGTCGTCACCACGCTCATTCTCTGGAAGCTCAAATGCGCCAGCGTCAAGCCGCACCCCACGACCTCCACGCCTACTTGCTGCAAGAACGCCTGCGTGCGTATTACGAAAACAAAAGTATTAGGACGCAACACGCAGACGCGCACAGACTTGACGCTGACGATAATTTTTCATCGTTAAGCTTTGCGGGTTGAAACGCAACCTGGCGCGGTCAACGCCCATCAAAGAAGCAAAGAAGCCTTTTCACACGAAAAACCTACAACTACACATGAACACGATTAGGAGACTGTATCGATTTGAGACGGACAACTTGCTTGTTGGATAGCCTGGTCGTAGCGCGGTTTATAGCGTGGCCATGCGCTACGTTAAACGTTAACCGTTGTGCATACAGTAGCAACTCACCACTGTTGCAAAGACAAAGCCCCAGTCAATCAAAACGCTGCTGAAGCACAGAAAAATACGAGTACTTGTAGCAGCATTCCTTCAGCCTAGCCGTAAGACCATCAAGCAAGGGCAGGGTGCCTTATTGTTACCACTGACATGACGCGGTCCCACACAAGTCTGCGTTGTGCCAACACGGTGGGACTGCTCTTGACAAACAAGTTGGCATGTATTTCGAGTTGAGCAAAAAAAATGCCACTACTTCACTGGACACGAGAATGACATACAACGGCGGGGCCGGGGGGTTGTCCTCTCAGCCTGCAAACAATTGACGAGCCTCGGCTCCCCACCTCGGCGAAGCACCGCCGCCTTCGCGGCTTCCGCTTCAGAACCCCAGTTGTTGTTGGAGGGGCTGGGAGCATGTCGTTAGCTAGCCTCTAGGCACAAACTCAGCCTCGCCTAACTCTACCTTAGGGCGGGTATCCATATTACGATACGATCAGGAGTAGGGTGCGCGTGTGCCGTTGCAACACGAGGTAAACTACTCACATACGCGTAGGATAAGGGTAAGGACAATGGAAGTGACAACGCCTCACCTGTGATGAGGAGCAGTCCCGGCCATCACCAAACGCTATCCCCACGTCAAAGGAACCGCCCGATGCGGGCTCCACTCCCCCCACGCTTTCTACGCCACCGTCGTCTGTCAAAACGAAACCGCCGACGCCCACACAACAAGCAACAGGCAGCACGCGGCGACGGAATAATGAGATGGTGAGCGACAGGCTGATAAATCACAAATTAAGACTACAGACAAAATTTAGGACCATGTGAACGTGGACAGCCACCGCCGGCTTCCGAGTGGAAACCCCCCGCAACACCGTCCACGCCGTCAACGTTCACGACCGATTTCAGGGAACCCGGTGTCTGTCACTTGCACAGTTCAACACCTCTGCTGTCCACATATCGTCCATATTCAAAACCGATCTCACGGAACCCCTAACTACTGCTGTGTCTGTCTAGCTTACAAATAGCACGCCCTGTGTCTGCCACTGCATAAAACTGTGTGCGAAGACTATTAGTGACTCACCCATGTAGATGATCTCTATCTCGGCATCTGGATCGCCAGACACCACTGCAGGACGAAAGTCGCCCAGCTTGTCGAAGTGCGAATAGTCCTCCGAGATTTCCATAAACAAGGCATGGATGCACCCTTGATCTACCGCCAACTCCACCACAACTCCGCCGTAACCTGACTCCACGACAGAGGCAGGCAGGCAGGCAGGCGGGCGGGCGGGCAGGCGGGCAGGGAACGAACAAATATAGAGTTGATCAGACAGTCTTCTGTGACGACCAAGGACGAGACCTTCTATGAAAGAAAAACGACGGAGGAACGAAGGTACAGCAGGGAGGCAGGGAGGGAGGGAGGGAGGGAAGGAGGAAGAGCACCCTCGACGACCACATATATACACGTGCATAATGTCCGATCGTACCGCATGTAGAACCAAGCACCAGCGCGAGGTCCGCCAAAACGAATGAAACTTCAATCGTCTATCTAAATTCGCACCACATCACGTTCTAGAACGGGGCAACCCCACCCTCAGGTACAACGCATAGGGTAGGCTACTTATGGGCTCGAGTCCCGGCAGAGTGTTTTTTCCCACTTCATAAATCCTGGTCTAGGATGAAAGCGACGCGCTGCAAAGTTCGTTGTTAGTAAACCACAATCGACTTCGTAAGTCGCGAGGGAAGCGATTGCTGTACCCTTCTCGCGATAAAAATATCTCAGGCAGGAACCGCAGGAGGGGGCCCAACCCCCTCCTCCTGTGTGACCCCGGTTGGGTCGTCTAGCTAGTAGAAGTGGAGGATAGGGGCCAGAGGGGCAGAACACAGAGTCCAATGATGGGAGAAAAAAAAAAAAACATGAGCGCTGCTGCACTTGCAACCGGCAGTGGAGGGCCACAGCAAGGAGCCACGATTTCCTCAGTATCATCGCACGATCACAAAAAAAACGTTGAGTGCATGGCTCTGTCTGCACGATTCCCCATGTACAAGCTTACAGTACACTACACGCTTGGGACAAACGAAAACGTCCTGCAACGAACCCCAATTCCCTCCACGATTCCTCCGGGTTTGCAAGCGCTATTTAGCGAGAGATCAATACCGGAGACCGATAGGAACTCGAAATATAGACTACTCCATGCAAGTATATACCCAAAAGGGGGTTGGGGGCGCACATGCAACATGCTGTTAAGTCGGCCGCCCCTCTTCCACAACGACGCAACTCGACCCATACCAGGGACAGTACCAGGGTTCCCACATCATGTCATACCATTGGGGTCTTCATCAAACATGAAAACAACGTGCCGACCACTGCTCCCATCCAACAAACTACTTCGTATAATTTACTTCGTAGAGTTAATGGGTTGCATGTAGAACCATGGGTGCAGCCTGAACCCACCACTCCAGTGGATTGGCCGAGCTATTATGCTTTGCAGAGAGCGATGGTTTCGGAGTTCCTTTGGGAACACAAAACGAAACGCGTGCTTAGGAGATACCGATAGTCTACACTCCACGAGTCCTCTGCTGTCTGTACATGTACAAGTCACCTTGGCCCGACACAACTGAGGGGTGAGGATAGCACGGGGCCCATCGAAACGCAAGACTAGCGTGGTGCTGCAGACACCGATCGTGCGGAAGACTGGTGGAAACAAGACGAGGTGCGGGGAGCAAGTGGGGCTTGCTTGGCTTGCTTGAAAACAAACGAACATGCGAGTCTTCGAGCGGGGCAATGCCTCGGACGGTATACAGCAATTTTCACGTCATTGCATGATGCCTTATGAAGGAAAACACACACGCACCCCAGGCATGAAATTTTCTCACCGCTGAGGCCGGCGCTATCGCCCTCAAAAACTCCGGCGCCGTCGCCCTCACAAACTAACACGTGCACAGCTTTGTACAATCATACAAGTATCCAACACAAGAGCGACAGGAGCTTGTGGACGAAGAGGCTTCCTGCTGACCACTACTTCTCTTCTTGTTGTGGATACCTCCGCCCGGACAACCTGAACGCATTTTCGTGTCGACCTAGGGATCGATCACATTATCTGCACACAACTCCTGCAGCCGCGGGGTATAAACAATCAGCTCGATGTACATATCTCACCCCACGGGAGACCACGTCCAACCAATGAAATTTTAATGGCCCCGTCCCCAGGACACCTGTGTATCTACAGCAGGAGTGCCATTGAGCTGCAAACACCGTGTGTTTGGCTATATAGGCGCGTTGCTCAAGGGCAACTTCAACAGCGGTGTCGCTCTGTCTCCGCGAGTGCAGTGTGCGTATTCGTGGGGCACCCATACCACCCTACCATCAATAAACCGATTGTAACCAGGAATTGACGGAATACCGTGCCTCAACGGGCGAGGCAATCTAGCAAGGGGTGGATCAACCTCTCATGCCGAGTCTTGATTGACCATGTATGCCTAACAAACACTGCTGTTGTGCGCGTGGACGCCGACACACACGAAGGATTGCGGGAAACAGGAGCAAAATCAGGGCTATGTCATCCCGCACGCGTGTGTCTTGTCGGAATCTCTGCTACTCTCTGCTACTCTTTGCTACTCTCGGACACAAAGACACTACAAATGCATGTAGTTGTAGACAGTCAAAAGGGTTGCAGGCATTGCTCCGATGTTTCCAATAAGTTAGTTGGAAGGGTTGTAGTTGTGCTGTAGACTATAGAGTAGTTTTCCTGTGATCAGTACGCCTCTCCGACTACTACACGGCATTCTAGGAACGGACCATACATCTCTCGGGGTACATTGGATCATTTTCGGCCTTGTTCATGTACGATATGAAAGCATATTAATGAGAGGAAAATCGAAAGGCGGGGAGGCTAAAACCCTGGCAGGGACGGAATGTTGCCAAAACGAATACGGCAATAACTACCGCTGCGAAGTCGAATGTACTATGCTCTGCACCCCTTGAGTGCCTGGCCAACAGCCTCATGTCCGTACACAGGTGCGCCAAACGAAAAATGGAATGGGCAACGGCTCCCCCTGCGCAACAACAGGCACAACTCCACGGGGTTTACAAAACCATTATAGGTTTATCGACAAGCAGGACGTGCGCAGACTTTGGCACAGCAAAGCACACACTCTGAGGAGGAGAGTAAAGATTCGGAACCCAGCGAGTGCCTTGCTATTTCAACGCTTGCACTGCGTGAGGTAGAGACACATCTCTGGGTGGTAATGTCCTTGCACTGCAAAGCTTGGCGAAGGACATGTTGCAACACAAGCACCAGCGGAAGTCCTGTGCAATCCAATTCCACAAACAAACGTGGAAGGAGAGATATCAACCATTCGGCGTTCTGCGTTCCCCTGATAAATGAGAATTGAACGTTTTTTTCCCGCGCCGCCATCTGCAACTGGGGTTCGAGTCGAACTGCCCAATGGTCGAGCAATGGGAATGTACATACATACCCCGACCCACTTGCTGGTTTGAGCGTCGTTGATGAGCCAACGGCAACATAACTCATCGAAAACACAACGGCAAATGCGGTCATTGCCGACGGCCAGTTAACACAAGCGCAGCAAAAAACGAAAAACTGAAACCACGCATGTGATGTGATACAATTCCATACACGTGATGCGGCATGCAGATACAAGAACAATGTTGCTCTTATTTTGGGCAACAATTACGAAGCTCGGCAAGCCAATAACACAGACCTTGGCATGGCATGAGAACAGCTAGAACGTGTGATTGGACCCTTCGGCCTCCTTTGGACAAGCTCTGTTGGTTTGCAAATAGCGTCATAGAAAGAGTCTGTGCCACCAAGCAACCAGCGGCGGATGCTGTCAAGAGTCAATCCTCTCTGCTCCTGTCTGCGAAAAAAAAAATTACCACAGGTCAAACAACCTCAAGTTCTTTTCTGCACCGCCTTGCATTATTCAGGACAGCAGGTGTTCAAATAAATGGCGTCCCACATGGGCGGCTGTAGGGTAGGCGGGGGGGGGGGAAGAAATGGCCTTTTTCTTGGCGTGGCGTTGCATCGCACGATGCAAANGGGGGGGGGGGGGGGGGGGGGGGGGGGGGGGGGGGGGGGGGGGGGGGGGGGGGGGGGGGGGGGGGGGGGAAGAAATGGCCTTTTTCTTGGCGTGGCGTTGCATCGCACGATGCAAATGAGATTTTGGTCAGAGGGTGCGTGAGCGAGCAAGCGGAGCACCCTGGGGGTATTCGTGGGTGTTCCTCCGTCGCTACGTTTAGATTGGAATGTTCCAATCCCCTCCGAGAGCCAGAGAGCAGTGGGTACAAGAACGGGAGGACCACTTGGCCCGTCTCCCGCTGAACTACGAGGCAGGACCGGCCAATTCAAATCCGGTTGAAGGTTTAGCTGTAAACACCGAGAGGAGGACGTTCAACGTTTTTGGCGCCGTTCCGTTCCTTGCCCTCCTTGCGGTCGTAGGTGTTTTGCAAGGGTTATTATCAGGCATGTGTGCGGTTGCTTGCTGATATGTTGGGTCACAACTGAAAATTAATGTGGAGAGGGATACAAGACTCCAAGCAACACAACGCGCCAAGCAAGCCCGGCCGTGGGTGCAACTGGCCGGTATATCTCTGCAGAAGGATGGGAAGACGCGCTTCTTGGTAAGGCGCTCGAAACCAATCAATGGCTGCCCCAGGGCCTCTCCTCTCTTCGGCTCTTCCTTTGCCTCTCTCACCTTCCGGACACGCGCTGTCCGCCGGCGGCACATCAAAGGTGTGCCTCACATAGACCGGGACTTGAAAGCGCCCGTCTCCCTGCTCCGTGATCCTTTCGTATTCACACCCGGCCCCGCTCGCACCGACCCAACCCAGGGCGGCTACCAACAAGAAAAATGGACCACGAGCGGACCACGCCTGCCGCCGTCGCAATCGCCGTCGTCTCATCCAGCGTTCGCCTGGCACAGCAGCGGCCGCCACGGCAGCAGGGCGCAATGTTTCCCTACTACACCTGCCGGTTCGCGCCGTCCCTCCTGCTCCTCCCCCAAGCTCTTCTTTGTCATGTCTGTGGTGCATGGGGATGCTGGCCAGCTCAACGCATGGAGCTATAGAACGCGGGGGTGGGGGGTGGCGGGCGCACGGGCACCAACGCGCAGCGTGTGTTTCGCTTGTGTTGGCGTGCGTACGGTGTGCGGCGCGGAACAAGCA